GTAGCAGAAGGTATTATGAGACACTTAGCTCTAAACAAGGAGTACTTGCAGAAGCTTAGTCCAACCACAATTTTCATAGGTTTAACAGTTAAACTAACTCCAATTCTCTGTAACTAATCGTAATGATCAGATACCCCCAGTACTTGACAATTTTGCATTAATATTTAATTTAATCCAGCAATGCATTTATGAGACAATGTATAGAATATGAGACAGTTCTGACATTGCATACAGGCCACATAAGCTGTTGATTTCTATAAAAGACACCGCACGCAGAAGACAACTCATTAGTATGCATGCCATGGTGTATGGTGTGCTGACTCAGCCATACACTCACATGTGGTGTATGAGCCCTCATACACCATGGCATGCATACTAATAAGTTGTCTTAGTGCGCATTCCTGTGGTACAAATTGGTTACACTACACCGACTGGACGGTTTAGTGCATACACTACTCGTGCTGCGCACTCGTAGTGTATGTCCACTAAACCGTCTCGTGGGCATAGTGTAACCTATATTTACTTTTTCAGAAAATTAAGTCCATAAAAGGAAAACTTAACCCAATACAAGGTAGGTTTCCACCAAAAATGGGAAACTTAACCATTTTTCATAATACCATTTGAAGAGAGAAATAAAGTGGTATGCCAAGGAACAGAAAGAAAGTGGGGTCATGGCTCGGGGTACTTTCTGCCACACCTCTTCCACAAACGCGTTGAACGAAAGCATGTACTTAATAACACATTGGCAGAGAATTTAAAAAAGCAGGATAATTATAAAAATCCTCTTAGCATTCGACACACTCAGAACACACAAACACATCAGGAACATCATCTGCAATAATATTTAAACAATCAAAATGGAACCATCTTTCACACTGGTCACAACAGATCCATCGTGACCCCTCTTCTGACTCGTCTTGCCCCCTATGACAGAGTGGACAAGTTTCAAGTGAGATATCCATCGCAGCAAATGCCTCAGGAAGGGACCTGTTCTTCTTTCCCTTTCTTGCACTTCGAAGGTTTTTATTTTTCTCCCTTTGTTGTTCACGTTCCACTCTCCTTTGCCGGGCCTTTTCGGCTTGTTTCTTCTTTAAGCCCTGCAGTACCTCATCTTCTGTTATGCAAACAGCTCCTTTGCTAGCCCCTTTCTTCCTTCTTGCAGGAGGCTTAGGCAGGGTAAGGATTTCGCTGAGAACAGGTGAGGTTTCGCTGCTGGACGGAGAGCTTCTCAGAGGAAGTTACTGATTCCGTATGATAGAGCTTCAAACCTTGTATTCTGGGTCATCCACATCATAGCCCGCGCCTCCTCGTGCCTTTTTTCGAAGAGTTCAATCTTCTCCGGGGGAAAAGGAGGATGGTCCTCCTCCACTTCTTCAGGACATGGAGTCTTGACACCCCTTGAAACTGTAAGTGCTCTGTCGCTAACCTCCCCAGGATTGAAGGGCTGTATCACGCAATTTCTAAACCCACTCATCACATTCAGTGGGTTGAACGAACGAGGCCATACTTGACCTATGAGTGATGCAAGTACGTCAGCAGTAACAACACGGCCTGGTTGCTCCATAACATACTTGTGACATGCATTGGAAAAAGCAGCCTTAAAGGATTTGAAGACTCCAACATCTAAGGGCTGTAGTATATGTGTGGTATGGGGGCGGAAGACAGAGTAAGTGAATGGAATGAGCCTTTGCTAAAAGCACTAAAGTGCAAACCCTCGGCGAACTGCGCATGCGCCGTACCGCTAAATTGATGGGCTGGGCTTATTAGTATGCGTTTACTCGTGATCTCCCGCTAGTAGCTCGCGGAGAATCTGACACTGGCTAGCTACAGTAGTAGATAGCACGCGGGAGTCGATACACGCCCTTCGTTGTGACTTCTTGTGCCTCCGTGGTACACAGAGCAAGCGGATCAGGTCGAGGTAAGCTAGTGCTAATTAGCATATTGGCTTGTTCACTTGGTTTTCACGCCATAACTTCTGAACGCGGCACTTTTAGGAAAATCGCCATTTTTAAAATCAAGCCAGTGTAGCGCTGAACCCGTTGGTGTCGCTATTTTACCTGTTTGCTGCGCGTGGTGGCAGAAAACGTGGTAACGGACGGACGGACAAACCAACCCTCGCTGCGCATGCGCGCTGAGGGTTAATCACCTCAATGCTAATATGAGAATAATGGCCATCTTGGATCAAAGGCACTGGCCTAGCTGGTGGAATTCGAAATGTTGAAACCACTGCAGAAAGATTTCCTTGGTCATCCGCCCACTGTCAGTGACCATAAACACTGTGCCAGGAGGAGCACCAACCCTCATGGCATCAGGAACACTCCGCTTCCGAGGAAATACCATCAGTGGGGGGAGACTTACACCTGAAGCTGACACACAAGCCAATATTGTGTGGTTTTTACTTCTTTCACCAGCAGCAATACTATAAACATTCTTCCTCCCAACCATGGCTACAACTTTACCAGGCTTCGTTGATGCCTGTCTCGTCAGCATTATAAACCTGCATAGGTCATCAACGACAGTTTTGTTGGAACATAAGGCCTGGCAGTATGAGAGTGGTTGGGGACTACGGAGAGTAAGGTAAGGATGACGACTTTTGACACCTTCATACCACCCCCGCCCAGCACACTCATCCTTGAAAGGGTGTTTCTTCCCTGTCCCATAACATCCTCACGTGATAGACCGTACCCCATATCCGCCATTTCTACCATGTACTTGGCTAGAAGATCCTCCTCCTCCTTTGAAAGGACACAGTTGGCGGTCCAGGCCTTGCGTCCATCTCCACCACTCCCATAACCCGTCTTCTCAGTGTCTCCACCGGGACATTCAATCCCCTGGATGCTTCACGATAGCCCATCCCATTCTCGTAGACGGCTTCTTCCTGACTCCACTGCTTTCGTTCACAACTCATTTTCACTGATTCGGAGCAGAAAACAGGGAAAACTTTAGGCGGCATGTGCTCAGGGATCAAAGGTCACAGGTTCGCGGGGTTTTTGCCGGACTCGGCGGATATACCACAGGTTGTGCAAGCCCCCGAACCTATAATAAGGTAATTCTAAAATACTGTCTCATAATTGCTGCTGCCTCCTATACCCTATACAGACCTTGTCTCTAGGACGAATCGTCTTCCAGCTCGATATTGCCTGCGTGGCAGGTAGAACAGCATACACCAGAATAGAGCGCTTCCTGCAGCGAAGGCAGCTCAAAAATTCTTCTTCCTCGCTCGCTGGCTGGCAAGTCGTTGTCACTGTCATTCAATTGTAGTTCCAGGTAACTCAGCTTCTTGTGGGAAGCAGTAGGAGGAGTAGCCGAACTACTTGTAGCCTGAGAACTTGAGGTAGAGTCCAGGGCCAAGGTCGACGACAAAGACGAAGTTGAGACAGCCAGAGTTGCGCTGCACGCAGAAGGATCGGTCTTAATGCGCTTTACGGTTGGAGGCTTACGCTTGGGCCTTCGTTTTTGTCCGGCTCTTAGTTCCTGGCAAGATACTGGGACAATGGTAGACGCTCCGGCTCCACAAGCCGTCGCTTTTCGACTATTACGTCATGCGGGTTACCACGGTTACTCACCATACTCGCTACTCTGATTGGTCCGGATTGGTTTAAACACAGAATGTTGATGTAGCGGTGCGGATCAAAGGAAAGGACCACGTGCCGCTATCCAAAACAGCTTCACTAGGCACGTAGCCTTACTAAATACAAGTAAATTAAAGAGCCTTCAAATTTAAAAAAGGCATATAAGGATGGGATACACGAAGAATGGTTAATGAGATTTGAGCATGCTGAAACCCCCAATCCCATCACACAATCCTATATTTCCCTCATCACTCCCCTTCCCTGCTGTTGACTCTGGCCAGCAACTCAAAACCACGCTATTGGTTCCACACTCATGAGTACCGAATATGTACAAAGTTGCCTCATGTAAAATACTTCACCAACGGGCACATGTGGCAAAACTAGATTTTCAAATGAAATCGCTCTAATGTGGCCGTTAATCGATGCCAGTTGGGTATTTGTGCGAAGGCTACTATAAAAGGCTTCAGCACTTCTCAGGTGCTGCTCTTTGCAATTTGATCAAAACTGTCTGGGTCCCATCTGCAGATTGTAGCTGCACACGAAACATGTCACATGTTCCACACGTATCGACTTTAGGGTACCCAAAACTCAAATTGAAATACTTTAGGTAAAACGAATAAGTAACAAGTTGGGCATTTGCATCCGCCTCATTCTTCTCTAAAGAACAGCTGGTGCGTGTCATATAGGATGCTTGGAGATCTTGAGCAACTGACATGCTACCTACATATAATACTCGAAAATCATCGTATCAAAATCCAGCTGGAGAGTCTGTTTGGAGCTCATGTAAGCACAGCAACTATATGCAGGACTCTGCGATCAATGGGTTGCCCGTCAGGTTATGTGATGTGTCGCTATACAGCGCTCAGACGCCCTTGGAGGATGCTTAATGGCTGAAATATCCATCTATGATCCTCAAATATTTGTGTGGATGGATGAGACGGGTTGCGATCTGAGGAACACTACGTAAATATGGATACAGCTAATGCGGCATTCCAGTTTGTGACTACCGCCTGCTAGTTTGAGGAAATCCATCCTCTGCAATACAAACCACCACGAAAGATGCTGTTTTTGGCAGATGTCTCTATGAAAATAAAGCCCACTTGGAAATACAAGATATAGACTCTGCATTTTACGCAATGTGATTGGTCAATTAAACAAGGTTTGCCCACATGTATGCATTTTCCACAAGCGCCATTTTGCACAAATGTTATTTACTTTGCTGTATAGACCATATTAGTGCAATGCTGTGATGTGTTTTCTTGTGCAGGTGACAGCGTCAGGTGATACTACCATTGGCCAGTGGGATGTAGTTAGGGGTGAGTCAGTTGCTACCTACAAGTCTCACACAGGCAGTGTAAAAAGTGTCGATGTAAAGAGAGATGAACCAAGTGAGCCATATACATATTATACTGTACTCATGTACATATCTTCCTTCTGTTCTGTCCTGCAAATCATGAAGAATACTTATTGTGTACAATTTTTCTTTGCAGTCAATGTGTATTATCTTCTTACTGTTTGCCTTGTATGCAATTATAAGAGCAAGAAATAGTCTTTATGTGTGCGTACTAGTGCCGAACTCTGATCTTCATGTGAATCCGTCTGATATCTAATTCTTGCAGCTATGTTAGTGTCAGGAGGTAGGGATGGCAGCATATATGTGTGGGACACACGGGTGCTCCTCCAGAGGTAATTTAAGTGTTCACATGCAGAAAAATCTGACACATAATTGTGAGTATGAGATTTTAGGTACCAGTTGTGTGGCGAGAGTGGATGCCATGGAAGATCCTTAACCCACCACCCCTTTTCTCAAGGCTGGGCATACGTATATCCTGCTCTCATGTTTTTATGCAGTGCATAATACAATTGCTGTGTTAAGGGGATGTGGACACTGCTATACACATAATTACAGAGTAATGTAAGCGTGTAAGCCCTGGCACAGATAGTCATTGTCGAGTTCATGCGCAGAAAAGCCCAGAGAGAGAGAGAGAGGGCGGGGTTACACAGCAGGAGACAGCTACTGACTGGCATACACCAGCTATGTACGAGCTGGTCAATTTCACATAGAGTACACACGAAAGCGCTTTTTGCTACCCATGAATAATGGGTAAGTACCAGTAAGTTCTGCCTTTGCCTTACTACCTCACCTCATCGTTTTATGCATGCATGCTTAGTTGGAGTTGGGCACACTTTGTGGTTAAATAACCTGCTTTTACATGAACTGTGCCATCTTTGAGGTTTGCCTTTGTGTTGCATTGTTTGAGGTTTGCGTTTGTGTTGCACTGTGTGGGATGAAGTTACTTGGGGTTGTGCATTCAGTCCGTGTTGCTCCCACTGCCTGGGTTAGAGTGAGAAACTTGCTCCTTGTAAGAGTACGTGTGCAAGCAGATCAACGTCTGTGGACTTTCTTTGCAACAAGAGTTCGCACTTTAGTGCTTTCATTGAGTCCAGCATTTCCTTTAAACACCATCTGTTTGTTCCTTTGCACTTTTAGCACTTAAGTGCCTTTATTTTTTATTTAGGCTCCAGGCATCGACCTGTGAATCATGTTCGAATGGCACATAGATGGACAAGAGCATCTCCACCAGCAAAAAAGAGAAGATGCTCAGTCACAAAAACTGCACAAGTTAGTAAACACAGCAACAATGAGGGTACAATTCTACATTATTGTGAATTTATAGACCTCAGATTTACAGTATGGCGTCACATCAGTACTTTTCCATGGCCTTCACAAGGTGGCATCATGTGGAGCTGCAGATGGGTATGTTAATTTTATCAAAACGGTCTGTCCAATCGCTATACTGGACTATTGGACTCATGCGTATTACACACTTGGGGGGCATGCACGGAAAGGTCTGTGACCAGGCTGTAGCAGCAGTGTCAGTTTGTTGCTCTATAAATACCAGCCATTTTAGACAAAGCTAGCCTCAACAGTCCTGCTTCGAGCAAGTTCATGCCACTACGGTCTGCTGGAGACACAAGTGCTGGTGTGGTAAGCTGCTGCTCGTTAGCCACGAAAGTTAGGAGGAACGTAGGATTGCAGCTCTAGGTATCACTGTTTTGCTGCATCTGTGAACGTACACAGAGAAGACGAACAAACAGATGCACACACATGCATGCCACCACACAAAGATAGGCGGACTAACCCTTGCTGTGTAAAAAAGTGCAAACCCTAGGCGAACTGCGCATACATGATACCACTAATTGATTGGCTGGGCATTTGTATGCGTTTACTCGTGGTCTCCTGCTAGTAGCTCGCGGAGAGTCTGACACGGGCTAGCTACAGTAGTATATAGCATGTGGGAGTTGATACACGCCATTCGTTGTGACTTCTTGTGCCTTCAAGGTACACAGAGCAAGCGGACCCGGTCGAGGTAAGCCTGTGCTGATTTGCATATTGGCTTGTTCACTTGGTTTTCACACCATAACTTCTGAAAGCGGCACTTTTACGAAAATCACCCTTTTAAAAATAGAGCCAGTGTAGCGCTGAACCCGTTGGTGCCGCTTTTTTACCTGTTTGTTGCGTGTAGTGGCAGAAAACGCAGTAACAGACAGACAGACAGACAGAGACGGACGGACAGACAGACACACACACTTACGAACCAAGTACAGTAAACCTCGCTGCGCATGCGCACCGAGGGATAGTTAGCTATAGTTGTAGAGGGGATAGTCTCACATAATCCCAGTGAGGGGCTGGATCCATGAGACTAGAAGGAGTCAAACATATACACCCTCAACGTTTTACCATTACTAGCCCAATTCGACATGACTCAGCAGCACGCAAGGATGAAGACTGATGCCCACACAGGCAAAGACGAGAGTGTGCACAACTCAACATGTTACATACTGCACATGCGTACATCAGTCCAGTAATCAAGTCCATGCGTACATCAGTCCAGTAATCAAGTCCAGGGATTGGATATACCCCAAAATGATTCCGCCCCTTAAACCTCTACAGTTGAAATTAATTCGTAAAAATGATATTTCTGTCTATTCTACTTACACTGCCTGTTCATCTTTTATTAGGAGTGTAAAGTTGTGGGATTTGAGGAGAACCTACAGTATATGTAGGCTAGAGCCTCCTCTCAGCTGGTACTCATTCTCTCCTGTTGGAGAATCTGGAAGACGATTCGGTAAGAAAAGAGGAGCAAGCAAACCTAGTGATGTGCAATTAATTGTGGTGTTGTCTGTAATCATCTTTGGACAGGATAAATATTTTATGCAGCATGATGTACATACGCATGTTATGACTTATTCAAATGATTTCTGTAGGGTTTACCTCACTGACATCAGATCCCTGGCAGAGCTCTTTGTTTGCTTCCTGCACTAACGACATGTAAGTGCACTGTTAATAGTGCTATTTGTGTCAAATGGCACAATACATGTATATACCAGTGCACATGCTTGATAAAGATTTGTGTCTTTATGCTCATTAGGCTACTACATAACATACGGACAAGTTAGGCATGATGACCCAATGAAGTGGAAAACCGTTGCTTGCTTTAAACTAGTATATAGCAGTGAATGCTGTGCATTTTTTACGAGTGGGAGTGAGCTAACTGAGGGTGTGTTCCATATGTGTGGAAACATGGTGAAAGGTTGATTGGAGTGCAAGAACCAGGTTAGCATGATGTTCAAACAATGAAGTTGGTTAAATAGAAACCATAACACTGTGCATAATGATAGCAGGTTTATAGTCGATCAAGGACAATTGCGCTGTAGGTCGTAGTATTTCATTGAGGCTTAACTATTTAGCACCATGTTTGAGGAAGAGATTGGTGGAGACTCTATCTTTTGCACTTGTGCTCTTGTGCTGTCTCGGAGGCAAGACGTCTTCTCCGAGCTCTATGTGAAATGCCGAATTCACACATTCCATTTGTGTTGTTGCCTTTTCATGATGGTAGCTACTGTGTTGTAGAATCACATTGTAGAATCACATAAGCATTACGGTTGTGTGTGCTTGTCCACATTACAGAGAAAATGTCCTCATTCTGATGACTAGGTGGAAATTGGATAACTTAAGGTTAAGTAGTAGAGGCTGCACCATGCACTCCCAGCACAATCGGATCATCTCTCAGTAAACCTGATGTTTTGATCTCACGCTGCCAGTTCAATAACGCTTGCTGAATACTACTTTGCCAAACAGTATAATTTTGTGATTACTAAGAGAGAGGAAACACTTTTGGGGAATAATCTTTGTCTTAATAGACTTTTCATCTTTCTCGTGGGGCGTGGGGCTGGATTATTCATTTGAATGATTATCTCTCCTCTTTTGCTGTTCAGATTGGTACATCTGAAATTGAGCTACAGGTAAGCTTAAAGCAGGCCAGAATCAGTAGTGGAAGATCGTTCCAAGAACAAGTATGCCAAAAATACCCCAGGGGCCCCTGTTTGCCTCATATATTGCACGTAATATCTGATTTCCAAAAGAGAGCTTAAACACAGTGTGAAAAAGAAAATGAAAAGGAGGAAAACCAACTGCTGCCAGGAGTCAAGCACAAGCCTAGTGACCAGTTACCCAGTCAGTATGCACTGAGCCACAACTCGCTGACAAAGCCACTCCCCGTCATTCACTTTTTAGTACACACATTGACCAAGCACGCTAAGCAATGCTGTGCAGTACAATTCCCACTTCACATCTGCATTCTTTCGCCCCTGGAAACGAGGGGCGCATTAAACAAAAGTGGATCAGCCCCGCGAGTAAGAGTCTGGCTCTTAAGATCTCCTTCGTAAATATCAGGAACTCTTTTGCATAATCTCTCCTCTGCTTTCTTCTTCACCATGCTGATTGATGTTAAAATGTGATATCCTTTGACATCCTTTTCCTGGCCACTCTTCTTTGCCTTCTTTTTTTACCTTGTGTTGATTTTGTGAGTCAAGTGTTCTGCTTTGCCACCTGAACCTGTCCCCAAGGAGCTTAGGGAGTTCTAAGAATGTCCGTGTACAGTGCAGAAGTATCCTCCCCTGTGCTGGCTGAATGGGTGGCTACTTATCCTTCCCTACCCTTCCCCTGTCTTGCAGCAATTTAACTGTATCAGCAAATCTAATTGTAGAAGGGATGTGGGGACACAATTATAGACAGTTTGTTGTTAGTCATTCCTAAATAACACCCGTCTCTTTGTCCCTGTGTGATTGTTCATTTTTATGTCCGTATTTTTTTGCTCTAGAATTTACCAGTACAGCACCTCCATGCTCAAATCAGACCCAGGTTAGTCTCTATATTTTATCTGCATGTAATGTTATGTATATACAGCAGACACGAGAGGCCAGTAGAGTTAGCAAAATAGTACAATCTCTTTATCGAGCTCAGTTACATCATCGACGACTCATACACCTCAATTACGCAATATAACAATGCACTACATTGCTGCAAGACTGTAATGTGCATTTTAGTCTATTTAACCCTCGGCGCACATGCGCAGTGAGGGTTACAGTACTTGGTCTGTCCGTCTGTTACCACGTTTTTTGCCACCACGCACAGCAAACAGGTCAAATAGCGACAGCAACAGGTTCAGCGCTACACTGGCTTTTTTTAAATGGTGATTTTCGTTTAAAAGTGCCACGTTCAGAAGTTATGGCATGAAAAGCAAGTGAACAAGCTTATATGCAAATTAGCACAGGCTTACCTCGACCAGGTCCGCTTGCTCTGTGTACCTTGGAGGCACCATGAAGTCACAACGAATGGCGTGTATCGACTCCCGCATGCTATCTACTACTGTAGCTAGCCCGTGTCAGACTCTCCACGAGCTACTCTAGGGGGAGACCACGAGTAAACACATACTAATAGCCCAGCCCATCAATTAGGGGTATCACGCATGCGCAGTTCGCCGACGGTTTGCACTTCAGTGCTTTTCATTAACCCTTGGCGTGCATGCGCAGCGAGGGTTATGGTACTTGGTTTGTAAGTGTGTCTGTCTGTCCGTCCATCTGTCTGTCTGTCTGTTACCACGCTTTCTTCGACTACGCGCTACAAGACAACAAAACAGCGATACCAATGGGTTCATCACTACACTGGCTCCATTTTTATAAAGGCGATTTTCGTAAGTAAGTGAACAAACCAAAATGCAAATTAGCACAGGCTTACCTCGACTGCCTCCGCTCGGTCTGTGTATCTTGAAGGCACAAGAAGTCACAACGAAGGGCATGTATCGACTCCCGCATACTATCTACTACTGTAACTAGCCCGTGCCAAACTCTCCGCGAGCTACTAGCGGGATGCAAGGCATAAAAAGCACAGCCCATCAATTAATGGTACCGCACATGCAAAGTTCGCTGAGGGTTTGCACTTTAGAGTGCTTTTCATTTGTGTCTGTAGTTGGTGCTTATGGTGGTCACAAAAACTCTACATTTTATGTGAAGTCAACAGTCAGTCCAGAAGGAAAGTGAGTGTCACTTCATCACTGCTGAACATTTATGCAGTGTTTTTCTTACAGGTACTTACTCTCTGGATCAAGCTGCAGTCGGGTATTCATCTGGTACCTTGATGAGCCACACCAACCTCCCACTGTGCTCAATGGACACAGCAAGGAGGTTACTGCTGTTTGCTGGAGCCCTGCCCTTACTGAAGTAATCCCCACACACTCTTGCACTCAGAAAAATAGCAATACGCATTTGGTACTAGTTAACCCTCGGCGCACATGCGCAGTGAGGGTTACAGTACTTGGTTTGTCATTCCGTCCGTATGTCTGTCTGTTACCACGTTTTCTGCCACCACGCGCAACGAGACAACAAAATAGTGATACCAACAGCTTCATTTCTACACTGGCTTGATTTTACAATAGAGATTTTCATAGAAGTGCTGTGTTATGGCATGAAAACCAATTGACAACTTGAACAAGCCAATATGCTAATTAGCACTGGCTTACCTCCGCTTGCTCTGTGTACCTCGGAGGCACAAGAAGCCACAACAAAGGGCTGTGTATTGACTCCTGCATGTTATCTACTACTGTAGCTAGTCCGTGTCAGACTCTCCACGAGCTATGTACTAGCGAGAGACCATGAGTAAACGCATACTAGTAAGAGCCCAGCCCATCAATTAGTGGTACCGCGCATGCGCAGTTCGCCGAGGGTTTACACTTTAGTGCTTTTCATTAAAGTTTAATTCAGCACTGTTTACGTTTGATGCCACATTATTTGTACATTACACCCAAGAACAGGTGTTGGATAATGCATGTGTCAACAACAAGATAATGAGGTAGAAAGGCAACGCAAAGCAAAAAAGTCAACTACACCCAGGACAGCTGTTTCATTTGAAGGAAAATAAGAGCTGCCCTGGGTGGGATTTTAACCCACGACACTGCTTTCTAGGCGAGCACTGTATGTGTGTCAAAATAATTGGTGAGCGAAGTGTGCCCACCTAGTAGTCTTCTGAATTGCACATACAGTTGTTGCGGCCACTGCACATACTGTAATGTATTGCATAGTTATAAGTACTCACACGAAAAATTTAACTGATTACATTCCCTTGCCAAAATGTTTGCATTTTTGCTAATACACTCACCATGATGGTAATATCAATGTTACCCCAACAATGACAACAGCTATTGTTTTTGCAGGTTGTGACCTGTTCTGACAACAATGACTTGAGATTATGGTATGTTATATAATTACATTTTTTGTGAGGTTATCAACGTTGTGTCCAATGTGAAATTCGCAATAATATGGTAGTAATAATGCTCTATGGATTCCACATCTGTTAACAGACTCATTGAAACCTACACAGTAAAATTAGTTTAACCAGCATCTTTGTAGCAATAGCAACACTGGAATGTAGTGGAGGTATAATATAATGTGACCCTGCATCAAAATGCACTCAGATCATTGAGCTTCAACTGAACCTATAGTTTCTAGTCACACTTCCTAACACAACAAATGGTGCATGGTGGGTACGAACGTAGATGTGCCAAGAGGAGTATGATGTGGATGGCAGATCTTTCAGTCTTTACCTTTGCATACACAGTTATTACAGTAAATTTCTGCTACCCAAAGTTAAAGCTTTAATCTTCTCACCTGAAATTATCTTCTAATCGTGCTGTGGCTAATACTTCACAGGAGTGAGATAGTTATGACATATAGCCTATTGCTGCGTGCATAATTGAACCTCCAGATCTATGTAATTATGATTATAAAACAGGGGGAGGTATCCCAGCAACTACATTAGTGAATTCCCTTGCCTTTTACTGCGGGCTTTTCCTCCTCTGCAGGAGAATCAGGCAGAGCAGAAATAATGCCCCAGTAGAGGATTTGGTAGGAACTGCAGGTGTCTATCATGGGGAAGGTAAAGTCGAACCGCGCAAGGCACACTTTGGGGGTCCTTGTAGAGAGCTTATCCTTCCTAGAGAGGGTCTCTAAAATGTTCATATCCCTTCCTAACCAGTAGCTTACTAACACTTTTTTGACATGATAATGGTAAAGTTCTGGTGTTATGTACATGGTGTGGTCGCTTCTACATATTCGTCTGTTAGAAAGTGGCAGCAATGCCCAAGGGGATGACCAAATTCTGCATTTTCTCTATATGAACAAATTGGCAGCTTGTTTGCTCTTAGATGTATCATTTGGGGATCTAGTTTTATCAGGCCTTGTCAAACTGCCATAGTAGAGTGTTGCTTTTTCACACACTAAGTTTTCAGGGGCACAATAGTTGTGGGTGACTCTTCTTGTGGCTTAGCAGTACCTTAATTGTGAATGATTCTCGAAGCCATCCCAGTTTGCACAACTCTACTATGCGCAGTTTGACCAGACTCCCCCTTTCTACTCAGTAGCCAGACTGTTAGAGAGACACATTGTATTGTTCAAAGGTTAGTGGTGTCCTTTCGGTTTGCAATCAGGGGCAGTATGACCATCCAAACCTCCACCCTTTTTAGTGTCCTAGTTATTGGTAGAATAAAAGCAGCATTTCTTCTGTTTCTAGGTCACTGCAAAGCAAGATTGGCGGTAAAGCATCAATCCGAAATAACTGAGCCACTGACCAAGAAGAGAAAATCCAGTATAACCACTCTCGGAAGATATACAAACAGTTTGCAGTCTGAGACAGACACAATTGAGAATCATGTCAATAGTAGGACAAAGGCAATAGCTAATGCAGTGTCTCCAAGCAAAATCTTGCAATTACACAACTCATTCCAGTCAAAGCCAATATAAACTGATTATTTGCACGTTGTGAAATAATGTGCATCGATCAGTCATTTTCTTCGGGCTGCTATTCCTTGCTATTATTATTCAACTGCCTAAAAGACTAGTACTGGCATGAGGTGCTCTCTTGTGTCGCTCCGACTTACATTGTAAAGTGAATTGAAGAGCCCTTTCTTGACTTGAACTCTTTCACTACTGTTTTCGCATGATCAGAAATGCAGTACGTCACTGATGATTGACAGGTCATGCGAGAGTATTTTTCATGTGTAATTTGTAAACAATGCTGTTTACAATAGCCCCAGGTCGTACATTATGATTTAGACAGGGTGTGTATTGCAGCGTGTTTTTTTAAGTAGGTACTTTGTGTGTAAGGACACAAGTTCAAATGCTGCCTTCAGCTCTTTTCTTTTTTTATGAATTGCAGATGGTTAATGAAACTGCATGATAATTAATGAAAAGCACTAAAGTGCAAACCCTCGGTGAACTGCGCATGCGCGGTAGCACTAATTGATGGGCTGGGCTTTGTATCTTTACTCGTGGTATCCCGCTAGTAGCTCGCGGAGAGTCTGACATGGGCTAGGTATAGTAGTAGATAGCATGCGGGTGTCGATACACGCCCTTCGTTGTGACTTCTTGTGCCTGCAAGATACACAGAGCGAGGTCGAGGTAAGCCTGCGCTAATTTGCATATTGGCTTGTTCACTTGCTTTTCACGCCATAACTTTAGAACGCCAGTTATTATACGAAAATCGCCTTTTTTAAAATGAAGCCGGTGTAGCGACGAACCCGTTGATATCGCTATTTTGTTATCTCGTTGCGCGTAGTCGCAGAAAACGTGGTAACAGACAGAATGACACACTTACGGGACCACTACCGTAACACTCGCTGCGCATGCGCGCCGAGGGTTAACAAGTATTATTAGTTGTTGCCTGGGCCCACTGCCACATGGATATGCTGTGACAATGCTGAGGGCCACAGGTAGCTACGAGGGTTTTACGTTATTACAACTGTCGATCCCATGTGGTCACAAGGGAAAGCCCAAATTTGTTGCCTCCTACATAGGACTAGCTAGCTAGCAACCATGGTTTGTGTAAAGGTTCATAGTTTCATCTCTGTATCTCACTTCGTTTTTGAGGAACACTTGTCAAAAGTGAAGACAACAAAATTAATCAATGACTGATATGCATTTCCTCGACACATGCGTTTAGGATCAGACTATTATGTCACAATTAAGTGAGCAAGGTGTGAAAACACGAACTGCTCGCCTCACTCGCCAAAATTGCATTCCTCTGATTTTAATATGCATGAAGCATAAATTTTTTTGGGAGTGGGAGACGAACATTTTCAAACACTATCTTAATTTTGAGAGAAAGTACAAAATAAAAATCCATAGAGACACACACTTTGATGATGTATCACTATTTTGCATTTTCAGACATGTAATCCATACAGATGCACATTTCAAAGACGTATCGCCTCCATTGTGCCATTAGGACCACTAGGTTATCTCGCTCCCATTTGCCAATTAGGACTTGGTGATAAGACACATGTAAAAGTGTTTATGCAATATTGCAATTCTTCATTTTCTTCTGACGAGTGCAGTATAAAGGTTCCAAACGAAGGAAACTGCGTTCATAAACAGGACTCGATACTGCATGAAGAAAAATACACACTTACATGGCATTACACATAACAATGCGTACTGTACAATGCGTATACAGTGAAACCTTGGAAAGCGGACCCTCCCTAGCGCGGACACTGCCCCTAGAGCGGACAGTTCTGCTGCCCCTGATTGTAATATTTGAAATCTCCGAGGAGAGGACACCTCCGTACTCTGTAGAGTGGACACCCGCGTGGTCCCAATGCACTAGAGCCCATCCTCTGAAAGCAGACAGCTGGCTGGCCGCACCCTCATGACCACACCTACCCGCCCACTACACTTTGCGTGTGCTCAGCACCCGTATTACGATACAAAGTTACCAAAAACATGTCCAGAATGCCAGTTATCAACAATATCTATCTACATAGTGTTTTCGACCGTTGAGACAGTAATAGCATTGCCCAGTAGAAGAATACATAAGCAGTCTCCCAGTCTGTAATGGTCTTGATGACAGCAACTGGGAGAGTTCTTTCTTGGCGTAAAGTTGTTCAGGAGGAGCCCGAGGACGAGGATGATGATAAAGGCAAACGAATTAAGACTTCGCAGACGATAAATCTTACAAAGATACTAAGGGGTATATACAACAATTTCTGGAACAAGAAGGACATGTCGAAGAAGCTTTTAAATTGCGATCAATTATAGATAAGGTTTCATTTCAAAAACAAAACAAACCACACTAAATTCATGGCTTAACTGAAACTGTGTAACATGTGTTGTGATCTTATAAGTATTATTCACTGCAGCAATGCCTTGTGACATTTCCTTGTTAATTTCAGGAAGCCCTGCCACCCATAGTTGCATAGGAGTGCGATTATTCTTTGTTCTCATGCTGTGCTGAGACCACCCCGCACTTTAAATGAATGTAACAGCTCTTGAATCATTGGCAAAAATGCAAACTGTAGGGCATAAATGTCCAGCTCATCGCTGACATGAAAAACACCACACAGTCCTCCAAAAAATAGAAGGAACAGTAAAAAATTAAACGCATCCCGAAAAAAGATCACGTGTCTCTCAATCCTCTGATTGTGAATGTTTCGGCCAATGATCACACTAGACACCTCATCCAGCTCCTCTCTCTGGGTGTTCGAGCATATATTATGTGCCACAAAAACATTTTCACACCCCTTATCCATTCTCGCTCTCGAAGGCAGTCCAAATTCTGTTACTCCTTTCCGAAATGCACACAGCATTGTTTCAGCACGGCCATTAGTGGTCGCCTGCAGAAATATTACTAATCTGCTATATATATAGCCATCTATGCCTCCATGCACTACAATAAGCCAGCGGATCGGCTTGTGGTATCCGTCGATGTGCCGAGATCATTCGGTAGAGAAACTGAATATGTTCTACAATGCAGAACATGTCTAACCCGACATTCTACCCCTATGGGATCAACTCTTCTAGTGATTCTCTTAATCTTTTAAGGCTCGCTGAAATTCCTTCATTCTTAAGACGCCCATCCACTGACTTCTGTCCACTTTGAGGGAAGAAGGAGACAATTGAAAGGACTTTTCATCCAGCTCTGCATCTGCAACAGCGGAATACACATCGCATACATACTGGCAGGACCACCACTGTCGTCATCGTTGTCCGCTACCTCCAATGACCAACTGTTTCGGAGAGCACAGAAAATTTTACGCAGGTGGTTGAAAGGTGATTGGACTTCGCCAAGGTCAGTGAGTTTTGTTAAGAGGAACTTCGTTCTTCCAAAGTGGTAGGGTGATATCTACAGCCCACAGGTGACATTCAGCATCCACTATGCTCGTTGCAGCCGGCTCCCTTTACTTTTCTGCTGGTCCTCTGGCATTTCTATTGCTCGTGCTTGTCAGAGTTGTCATCTCCTGTTGAAGGCGTGCCTTCATTGTGTTTGATGTTTAGGCTGCACGGTCTTCACCAACATTTTTCACTTTGGACTACATGTGATAGATGATAGAGAAATCATGAGCACACAGGTTTGATAAACAATTGGTCTCATTAACCACACTGCTTCATTTTTGCCTTGGACTGGTACACCTTTAAAGAAGGTAACCTTTAAGATGGTTTTCTGAGCTATACAAAAAACTTACAAAGGAGATTCTTGATCAATCAAGGCATTATCCATCTTCATTCGTTTGTCAGCCCATCTTCTATTTTTTTTCACTTTCTCTTTCTCTTCTGGTTCTGCACTCGCTATTTTTTGCCAATTCTTCGAGAAGTGAGTAAGTGCACAATTGCACAGCTCTTTTATAGGAAGTGATCTGGAATGTGATTGATGGATAAGGCTGCGATGTAATTGGTCGATGCAGACGTTGGTGCGGATTCGATCTGCATTATAGTCTTAGCTCTCACTCCCCCGCACGACAAACTCGCTCATGAGCAGAAACACTGGAAGGCAATCTTCACCCTTGATTTCGTTTTTGCCTGCGTTGTTCGTAGTGCAAATGTGTTAAATTTACGCACTTCCTATTTATACAAAATACTGTGGGGAATTTTGAGCCGTCGTGTTGGTAAGTGAGTCTGTCTACGGATGTGGATAGAGAGGTACATAGCTGTTTCAGTAAATGGTCTCTCAGTACTTTTACGTCATTGTGCAGCACTTTTGTGCTGAGGACAGTTCGTTACAGGTAAAGCTACATAGCAGCCCCTTAACTTATGGCATTGTAAGTGAGTGTCGTGCAAGCACAGAAGTGTTGCATTTTGTACTCTTACTTGGTCTGTTCCTTACAGATGCAATGAAAAGTGCAAACCCTCGGCGCATTGTGACACGCATGCGTAAGTAAACGCATGCGCCGTACCACTAATTGATGGGCTGGGTTTAGTTTTAGATGTTACTCGTGGTCTCTTGCTAGCTCGCGCAATGTCTGACGCGGGCTAACTATCCTACTAGATAGCATGCGAGAGGCGATACACGCCCTGCGTTGCATCTTCTGGTGACTCCGAGGTACGCAGAGCACGCGGATCGATCAGACTGTGGTAAGGCATCCCGTCCGGCATGTATTGGCTTTTTCGCGATCTAGCTTTGCAACGGAGCAGTTTCAGAGAAAACCGTTTGAAAGTTCTGA